CCTTTGGGAGCTAGTTTTGTCTTGAACATGGGAGTGACGTGGCTGCAATGGAAAAGCACGACTTCACGGCAATTCATTACGCGGCACGACATGGTGAGGTGACGGTGCTCTCACGCCTCCTTAACTGGAGACCTGAGGAGACGGTGAGCCTCCTCTCTTGTGTGAATCGCAATGGCCACACGCCCCTGCACCTTGCTGTCATGTATAATCACGCAGACCTCGCCGCCTGCCTCATTAAATGGGTCAGTATCAGTTCGCTATAATCGCTTGTTCCGAAATCGCTCAACTTAATAATTAAATGCACGCACTTTGGGTGCGCCACTACCTTTCAGTAAGCACTCAACCAAAGCACCGGGAATGGAAACCAGGCCATGGTTGTAAAGGGACGTTAACATAAAGGATCCAAATTTTCCAAAGTTTATTGGAATTGCACAGTTTTGTATAAGAGTTAGTTATTGCTTAAAAGCAGAGGCAACTAATTCCAAGTGTTTGGGTAATATGAGTAGTCATCACCAAAGCGGACAAAAGGGCGCTCAATTTCGTTTATCCACTATAAGCGTAGTATTTGCACGGATTTGGTTAGGTTACTAAAAGAATGCCATAGTTCGTAACACTCTAGTTGCAACGCAATTGAGTCCTCATAAAATGGCCAAACCTACTTTCTTTCTATTTGGTGGGTGCTAGAGATTTACCCTAAAACGGAAGAGAGTGAAGATCAAAAAGTGACTGCAGTGATCCAACTTTTACCGAAATATCTGACCGTTTCTCTAAGCCTAAAAAATTCTATTCATTAGAAAAAAACGACTATTTTAACATACAAAATGGGAGGTTTAAAGGCAAATTTCCTCCCCATTCGTGCAATCATAGTGTCTTCACCCTAAACAAAAGTAGAACGTTTTAGGAAAATAGTGTGGTAAGGATCATGAAACAGTGGAATAAACGCTTTTGTGCCCTTTGACTAAGAAATCAGTGCTAGCTCCCTGAGTACCCATCAGATGGACAGACAAGAATATTTTGTGGAGAAATATTTTGCATTTAACAGCGCTCACCAATGGAAATGCGGGATAAAGATGGATGGACGCCATTGCTGCTGGCTATCACAAAGTGTGCCATCGCTGCCTGCCTCACACTCATCCAATTCGGTGCTGACCTTCATGCTTTGGATCTTTTCCAGAGAAATGTGTTGCACCTCGCCATCATGCACGGTGCGCTCAAAGACGAAGCTCTTTGGAAGCGAATTCGAGAGGTGAAGCAGTGTCTCTCATCAATCCTGGTCACACAATTAATTTGAAATCCTCCAATGCCGTTCTTGAAAGATTTTATTTTCGAAGCATATTTAAGCGGGTAGAAGTAGAGGATATTCGAGCGCAATTTTGATTAACTTGGAGACATTTGACTCCCTTAAATGAGAATTCTGAACAAGGTCCTATGATAACGTACTTTTTTCAATGTAAAAGCTATGAAAATCCCAAAAGATTTGTTCAATGTCAAAGGTTTTAAATAACGCCTATGAAGAGGAATGCCGGGAACAGAGTTAGTAATTAACAACTTGTGATTAAACCAACAGCGCATACGTTGACAGGTAACGTAAATTTCGCTCAATTTATGTCAATAAAGGTGCTCTTAAATTCTGTCAATGCTAAGAAGGAGCGTGTTCAGCCTTCTTCAGTGTTTTGGATTAAATCAGGGCACTCGTAATGCAGCTTTGTGGATCAAGTTACTGCAAACTGATAGCAAAAATTAAAATATCTGAGGATACTGGAGAGTTTAATAGGCGAAATTCGCAATAAAGACGATAGATAAAATGCAATGACAGGTTTGGAGGTTACAAGAAGTAAGTAGCCTAAAAGCTGCTTGCAAAGTTCTCCAACTGTTGTCGAATACGTGGAGTAGCCACTATCTCTCTTGGGGCAATTTAAAATTTTTTTAGCACGGACTATACAAGCGGTTGATAATGGAGGAGGACGAGTACGGGTGCACGGCGTTACACTACGCCACAGAAGGTGGTAGCAGCATGTTGTGCGT